ATTCATAGGAGTACATGCCAGACCTGCCACCAAGCCTGATTACCACCTTCCTGACCTTTGGTTTAGATGACTGCTCGAGTTTTATTGTGCCCTCCATCCAACAGTTCCCCCACAGAACAGGGTCCTAGCCAATCCCCACACCCTCCAACAACACTTTGCCTAAACCCAGAGGCCTCCCTTTGAAACCCATGTCACACTAGCATACCTAATTGCTAACACCAGGTAGCAAACATCTGAGGATTTCAAGGAATCACAATGTAGAAAAGTTAAACCAAAACTCAGTAGACACCCGTTATTCCCACACTCAGTAGAACCATTCCTAGAGGCCATCTCTTTGGACTCCAACCTCCATCCTGGCAATTCTTATTCTGATCAGAACTTCCCATCAGAATGGGACTCTCTTTCCCAAGACCCTGACCCACCACAAAATAACGGAAAGCCCTTAACATCCAATTATTGCTGGCAGAGAGCCAACCCATGGCTGCTTCTTCAAAGTCCTAATTTGGCAGTAGCGAATATTTATCCTTTGATTGGGATTTAAGGAACTACACAGGTTAACAGTCCACCAGAGCTTCTTTTAATGAACAGGATGAGTTATGAAGCTGGGGAATAAGATTTGAGGTAAAATGATGGGTTGAACCAATGACTTCCAGAGACCTACAAAGTGGCTCTAACACGGTGGGAGTATTTTCAACAAAGTAGCAATGTCTAAAAACAAAGGGTTTTGGAAAATTGAAACATCCTTAAAAGATTTGTCTGAATCCCCAAAGTAACTATTTTGAAGGGAAATTCATCTGGCCTCAAAATTTATTTTTAAGATAATCTGATTAGTTTCTCAAAAATGATCTATACTACCATTTTAATGAACGTTGTTCTCTACAATGACCTCCAATGCACAGTACGACCGCGAGGGTTTCAGCTTGAACCTAAACTATATTTAACCTTCAGACACGTGCAGAGGGCACACAATAATTGGCAACAGGATTAAGAGACATCTGGAGTCAGGTTCCATTTGAAGCAGCAGCTCTCAACTTGGGCAGCATAGCATAGCCTTGGACATCCAGGCCCCACTCCAGAACAATGAAATCCTAATTTCTAGAAGGGCAGTGAAGATCTTGGTATTTCTTTTAGAGCTTCTTGGGCAATCCCCAGGAGCAGCCAGAGCTGAGAACCACTAACTTCAGGGAAGGAACCGGGATGCTCACTTCTGATGCAAAGGCACTGGCAGGCAGATGCTAATGCCGCAGGCGTCTTCCTCTCAGCCCTCCGACTCGCCTTGCCAGATTTAGGGTGAAAGGCTGCAGTGGGGAGCAAAGCTCCATCAGCCACTTCCCTGGAACAGTTCCTTGATCTGTGATTTAAGGTTGATCTACATCACGATCTTGTTAGAAATCTGTTAAAATGCAGATTCCTGGGTCCTGCCTTAGACCTAATGATCTCTGCATGTGGTTTAGCTAATTAGAGGTCAGTAACAACTGCCAAGATGTGATCCAGGCCTATCTGACTCCAGATTCTTTCAAATGCCAACACTTTTGACCAGCAAGAGTGGAATTTCTCTGTCAGAAAACCTAGAGTTTTAGATGATTTTGAGTGAAAGGTGATTATTTAAAGCAATAGAATGGAAAACAACAGCAAAAATTCCCCTTCCTCTCCTCCCTCCAAAGGAATCCTCTATCAATGACTTTGGAGTAGCAAAATACTATCCCTCCCTTTCCTTCCTGTTCCACTACATTTTTTCCCTTCTAACAAATGTTTTTTTTCCTCCAAATAAGGTCACTTGGAAAAAAAATCCCTGGTAGATGTCAGCATTTATTGGAAAATAATAAAATTACTATATAAGGGAACCTACCCCAGATACCACTTCATAATTACCTCTACATTTGTCATATTCTACTTAAGCTGCAATAAATTGTGCAGAGTTCCTTCGAGTCAGAATATGAAGAAATGTGACTAAGTGGCTTGTCCATTTACAATCAGCTGGGAGCCGATTTTTTTTTCCATCTGGGTCATACTGTCACTGCCACATACACTTCTACTTAAAAAAAAAAAAAGAAGGAAATGAAAAAGAAGCCTTACACCTTATTTCTTAGAAGTCTGGATCCTTGTCTGTAGAATGATGGTGGCGGGCGGGACTTGGGGTGAGCATGGGGGTGAGGAATCATGTGCAAAGACGGTGCATGTAAGATGGACGGTGACCTCTGCTCACCAGCACCAGCGCACACACCGACGAGAGACGGTGCAGAAACAAGCTGACGTGCAGCAAGTACTATTTCAGTTTGTAAAACAAATTGTACAGAATTCTTTCTGTTGTTAGTGTGAATGTCAAACAGTACAAACCTTTCAGAAGGCAATCCATAAGGACCCTAAGAAATGTTCATAAGGTTTATTCATTTTACTTCAATAATCCAGTTTCTAGGAATCCAGTAGATGAAAAGAATCCAAAAGAGAACAAAGATGTTCACAGCAGCACTATGTGTAACCCAGGAAAAATGTAAACAGTATTAATACTAGTAAACATGGCACAGGAGCATCTTACTTGCTGGACTTTTGCTGAATGCTTATCATAATCCTTAATAACAGAAATTATTTTCAGCACTTTTAGAAACAAAGAAACGACAGCTTAGAGAGGCTAGGACATGTCTCCTGTCATCTGCTGGCAGGGGTCAGAGCCGGGTTCAGAGCTAGGCTTGCCTTTTCTGAGCTTCACACCCTCTTCAGTTCCCCTCAGCGTTCATGAGCAGTCAGAGTACAAGTTACAGAAAGTGCAGGACGGTCAGATTATGCAGCCATTAAAGTATGTATAACAAAAGAAATATTTATGTTAAATGAAGATCTAAGATTATATATACAGTAAGATCTAAACTGTACACCAAAAACTTTACAAAAAAAAATAAATGAACTAAAATGTTATTTAGTGACTTTCTCTGAGAATGGGAATATAAGTAGAAAGTACAGAGAGGTGGGGATTAGTATGATCTGGTTTCCATTTTTGTTATAATAGGAAGATATACATTAAAAATTAAATACAGAAAGGTTTGGGAGATCTTATGGCTACTGCCACTTGTTAGAGTCCTTAAGAATTGGTTTTCTTAAGGCAAACATCGCCAGGCAATGAAAGCATTTGGACCTTTTATTTCAGTTTTCTATGGTCTCTCAGGTGAGTCTGTCTTAGTAAAAGGCTTCAGTCTTTTTCCAGCAATATAGTGAATACATAACTGAATTAGAGAAGCTTACTTAAGCCTATTAAAATTTGAAATAACAAAAAAAATCCCTGAACACAAAACCAGTCACTATGAAAATATAACTCCAGCAATCAAAGCCTGAAGGCAGCTTCCAAGAGAATCACTAGCAAATGAAAGGCTAGACAGATAATGAGGAATGAGCCAAGACTCCTAGGCCCTCAGGCACATCTACTATGCGTTGAAGTCAGGCAGTGGGGGAACTGACAAGAGTTAGATGCAGGAGATCTGTGAGTGCACACATAACATCTTATACACATGGTGGACAAAGTTGAAGGTGTGAGTCAGAAATACTAACATTTGGTGGTTAATATTCACCACTTTATGGACTTTCAAGAGCCTCCAGTATTCTGGGGTAGCTGGGGTGGAGACCCCGACACATGGTGGAGAAGATAAGATCAAGTTGCTGCAATAGGCAGCCAGAGGGTGGGCAGTTCTTCTCCAGGGCCCTCCAGGTGCCTGCTGTCTCGGTCACCTGCCGTTCCCAGAGCATGACACTTCTAACGGTGGATACCGGCTCACTAATACCACACCCATGTCCTAGCCTGATGGAGGGAACGGGCAGGTGGAAGGACGAGACCCAGAATTGCACATATCAATTCAACTCATACCCCACAGAGCAGAACCCAAGATAAACTCTAGTTAGGCATTCTAGTACCAACCAATACTCAGGAGATTCTATTTCTGAAAGGAAGAAGGGGGCAGTTAGCATTTTTCATGGCTCGGTGACCATCTTAATCAGACTCAAACAACTATTCCCATCGTTAACATTAATCCAGAGGCCTGAAGGAATGTGCATCCAGAAACAGGGACTAAGGGTAAAGGAAAGAATTAATGGTGGTGTGAGCAGAAAGAGAGGGCAAGTCAGGTCTCCAGGCATCCCCTCCGCTGGTCTGGTCACACATAGCTCCAGAAACTGTTTCCTGGGTTATTGCAGTTGAACAGTAATTTGAAGAGGAAAACCAAAGAATTCCTCCCACAGTCTCCTCATTCTATCCACCATTGCTCTCCGGCCTACCCATTTGGACCTGCAGATCATCTTCCAGAGAGAGACAGGAGTAAAAGCTCCAACTAGGAAAACCAGGTTCTGGTTCCAGTCACACAAACCAGGCCGTGTGAGCATGTATTCCTCTAAATTCAGCTAAGAAATGGGGGCACGAACAAGATCAGAAGACCTCTTCCAGATCCAATATGATCTGAACCTCAGTCTTCTCTTCATCAGTATGCTAATTAAAAAAGCATTTCGAAAGTAGTGACTATTGTGCATAAACACTGCAAAGAGCTGTCATCACACAGCCTTGAACTTGGTTATGGTAGTTCCAAGACAACACCGAGGAAAGTGGGCAAGATGTGAGGGAATGGAATCCTCATTGTGGGGGCCCGGCCTATGGCCGAGGCTGAGCCCCACTCTAGCTGGACAACGCCCTAAAGATGGCGCCTGCTTCCTGCTCACCACCCTTTGCCCTCTCCCCTGTTGGGGATTGGCCCAGCAGACTTCCGTACCCGTGCACAGCTCGTGCTGCCCGCTTAGAGTGGCACGTGACACCTATCCGCTTAAAGGTCACGCATGATACTGTCCAGGATTGGTTGGGTGACTGAATATAAGGGAGCCCGCCGGGAGGGAGAGGAGCTTCCCGACAACCGCTGTAACCACCATGAGAGATTAGACAATAAAGCCTAAAGAAGAATCAAGACCTTGGGCGTGTTGCTTCGGTCCTTGAAGGGTTGCGACACTCATAATCATTTCACACAAACTATGACTCAATATACAGGGCAATGATTTTAATGGTAATGATTTTCCCACAATTTACATATTAAGTTTCACTCAAGATTTTGTTCAAAGAAAAAACTTCAGTACTAAAAGGTTAGCAGAGCATCATACAAGAACTCATGACAGCTTATACTCTAAAGGGATCTCTAGGGCAGAATCATTTCCCCTGAAAAAACTATTTTATAAACTAAGAGTCAAATGGCACAAACTAACAATTCAATTGTAGCTATTTAAATTTTCCCTTTTTCTTCTGGTATTTTAGGCAAGAGGGTTCAAGAAAACATATTTCTAAGAAATGCATTTAATTTTAAGACTCAGAGGGAAAGCAGAATAGTTTTACCTTCATAGGTTTGTATCATCTGAAAAGAAAGGTTCTCGAAAAGGTAAACCTTCAGACATACATCTTCACTGCCACTGTCACCGAATGAGCCGTTGATCCTCAGGCACGAAGCCTGTTCCAACTCTAAGGAAGCCCAGGCTTCCCACTGACCAAGCTGTTCTACCCGGGGATCATCCAGTTTTCTTTCATGTTATAGCTCTCCTCCGGCTTCAATATACACCTAGGCAGCCACCTCAAGATCGGGGCCACGTAGGACCACTTCCTAGGAAAAACCCCACTCAGAATATACTCACTAGTGGTTCCTCATAGGTCCTCTGACAAATCACATACCCATGAACTTCACTGCATAAACTCAGAGCTGTTTTAGAAAAAGACAACTATCAAATAACTTTAAAGTAAGACATAAACCTTCATGAAAATATAGTCATCATATTTATTATTTTCATTAGGTTGTCATTTTATGAAGAATTCCTAAGCCTAATGTTTCTTGACATGCAAGAGTTAGCTTAAGTTACTGCAAATACTGCTGCTCGGAAGCAGTGTAATTGTTTTAGAGTTTTAAGACTACAGACTTTTATTACTCAAATCTTATTCAGTGTATGTAAGGATCAGAAGGTTCTGAACAGCTGGTTAGGAAGGTAGCCAAGATGCAGGAAAGATGTCTGCGCCTCCTTTTCAAGGGCAGCCAATTCTTGAACTGTAGGTGCCAAAATATCCACATGGCCTTTATAGTTTCCACCTGCATCACACACACAAATTAAAAAGTAATATAAATAACATGCTTGAAATAACCTGTCAGCAGTACTCTGGCTCAATTGTATCAGTTTAAACATTGCTTCTAGCAATAAAAATGTACTACTAGGTAAGTTATCCCCCAAAACTCTTGAATTCTAAAAATATTAACTCAAAAAAATGAATGATTAGGCCTAATAGATGTCCCAGTAACCCTTCCAACCCTTCCCCCATCCCCTTCCATGGTTTGAAAAGCACTAGTTTAGACTGAAACTTTCAGCAATAAGCTAAGAACATTCCAGGCAATGGAAGTACAATGCTGGGTTACTACTTGAATTAAAGCAAAGGCTTCTGATTCTTTGTTCAAAATTACCATTATACTCTTGTTGCGTAATAATTCCATAAACTCTCAACTACTCTTAAGACACTATTACCACAAGAAAAACAGCTAAGCCGCTGTCCTTCATTCACATGTAGACCACATAATAAAAAAACACTACAAGACAGGTATGGATAGAGTACTTGAGTAATAAGGGGGTAATGATTAATATGCTAAAATATAAACCTAACATAATGAAGTAAAATTACTCTCTTCTTAAAGTGAAGCTCAAAAAGGACATTCATATTTAAAATAGAAGTAAAGTAATTCAAAGCTTACCACCAGCAGCCCTTCTTTGCCCATAGGTAACTTTTCCATCAAATTCATCCACTGGTACCTTTATATCTGGCTCAACCTGAGAAATGGTACAGTTCAGATGTTCTTCTATCTCAGACAGCAACTAAGAAAGGCAGAAGAAATCAAAAGTATTTTCAAATAAAAACTTCATTTCAATAGAGTTGCGTTACAACAGCACTACATGAAACCAAAAGGCTATATAATACTTAGTGGGAATGGAATGAATGGAAGTTAGATTTCTGAAGAGATGAACTCACAAGTTAACAATTTATAAATAACAGCTAACATTATAATCAATTACTACTTTTCCTCATAAGTGACAGATAAAAGCTGAGATATAACTATTGTAGATAAACACAGTCTATTTTTACCAATCATAATAAATTTTTGTGAGTCTTACCTGCATCTCATTGTACCATATGGTACAGCCACCATCTTCCTTGAGTCTTGTGTTGTAACAACCTTTTCCACGGCTGCTACATACATGGTACCAAACCTATATTAAAGAAGGAAAAAACACTGATATGTATGGAGATTGAAACATGCTATGCATCTTTATTCTCAATTGGTTTTTTAGTATGTTCTGTCCTCAAGGCACAAGAAAAACAGATTGTAGGTATGTCATCCAATTACTACCACCACTCACGTAGCTCATTAACTAGGTCTTCTGAAAGAATTCTTTTGGAAAATAATCCAAAAAAGACTTTTTTTTCTAAAATGGGTATCAATTATAGAAAGGAATTCTCAGATAAAAACAAGGAAGCAAAAGTAAATATTGGAGAATGCTACTTTAAGACAGGCCTCAAAAATAAAGTTCAAGTATTTTTTTATAAGATAACACAAATGGCAAAAAGCAAAACGAACAACTAGTTTGGACAAAGTTTGTGGAGTTTCTTAGTCTTGCGACTTTTCTGTAAATTTGTATCAAATTATATCAAAATAGTTAAGTTACTCCACTCACAGAAAAAGTCTTCTAATAGTATGATGCCAGGAATACTTTTTGGTAGAAACAATTATATTAACGATTAGGGAAAATTACATTTTGCATTTTGCCTTCCTAAACTGCATCCTACTCTTTCTCCATTCAATGAATATAGAGAAAAAGATGCCATTAAGAAATTCACTTACATTCCATATACAACTGAATTAAATGTAAATGGAAAAATCAAACTGCTTTTATTTCCAACATCTAAAATAACAATGCAAACAATGAATATAATACAGCACTGAAAAGATTACCTTTTCTTTTTCTGTTGCCACGAGGGAAATGGCCAGACCCATCCTGAAAGATTGTTAAGTCTTTATGAGAATTTATTCCTGAAGAACAGAAGCTTAAAAAGGGGGAAAAAACATCACACCAGTACCTTTCAGCTCTTCCCACTCTGCCAATTCGATGTACATAGTTTTGCTTTTCATCAGGCAAGGTGACATTTATAACTATAAATAAAAAAAATCATTACTACTTGCCATCAGTTGCTAAAATTTTCAAACATATTAGATGTTCAGTGTTTTATATTTTTCAAACATATTACACAGCTTAAATTTCATAAAATTGAAATTGGAGGCATAGAAACTTTCTTTTTACCATAAGGAACACCATGGATATCAATTCCTCTGGCAGCTACATCCGTGCAAATCAAGAATCTTACATCCCCTTTCTAACGAGAACAGAAAGGAGAGAAAAGGAATTTATTAGTACATATTCTAAAAAAATAAACACAAATACTACCTTTCTACTAAATGAGACCTCTAATAACTAATATATTACTATTATAGTAGAAGTCTAGATATTCATAATTCACCAAATCACATCTTGAACTTTTAAGTAATGATCTGCTGAAATATGACATTTAAAGTGAATAATTCATTTTTGCTTTTCTCTTCTTACATATTAAAGAAGATATTAAACCACTGCTAAAATTTGGCTTTTCTTTAGAAATACTGATACTGGTAATTCAAAAGAAAAATAAAACTGAACAAGTATAAAAACATAAGCATTATCTTTTCCCAGAATACTAGATATTTTACCTTGAGGTTACACTTTCTGTGACAACAGACAAAATCCTAAAGAAAAGAGTGGGCCCTGGTGCTCTTACCAAGGAAATACCAAATAGTGCTCAGATGTCATCTGTGCCCTAAGACACAACAAAGTTAAAGAGCTGGAGGAGGAGATGGCATACTGACTTTTGGTCCAGTTCAATGCCCAGGACAGAGATTGGCAGCACACATGCTGAAATGAGGCCACGTGATATGTTTTAACACCCACATCGATTACGCTCAGCAGGGAAACATAAACCAAAGTTCCTAAACCCAATACTTCCACCTTTTTTCATATTATGGGTCTGAGAGAAAATAATGTCTGCACTATACCCTGGGTTAGACAACTGTGCTAACAGATGAAGATGCTTGTGAGTGGGTGCAACTGACCGTGGGTTCTGAATGGCTCAAGTCCTACCTACTTACACCAACAGTCTATAACCTCTTCACGTGCTGCAAGCACATAACTGAACCACTCTGCCCCAAACAATTCAGGATATGTCTAATTCCACAAAACCACAGTCTGACACCTGTCTTAAATTAATCTACAAATTAAAGTCTCTATAGGTAGACTATCAAATGATGCCTCTTTTAAAAATATCTATCTGAAGGAATTTAACTAAAACTTTCCTTAATTTGAAAATTATTACACTAGTGTTGAGCTGATAGAGAACACATAATTTAGACAGAGACATCTGACTGTTAGGATAACTAAGCCCTGCCACGATGGGCATATACCAATAGGGTAGAAATATTTTGAAAATTCTGGAACAAGAACTGCTTTAATAATATTAACTGGAACTGATTAAAGCTAGATACAATTAAGCATTAAGGAAATGCAGTCAACTAAACATCAGTACCTTAAATCTTTCCAAATTTTGCTTCCTTTCATGAGGCTTTCTGTCACCATGAAGACAAACACATGAGAACTGGTGTCCTTTTTTATCAGGTCCTGTGAAAAGTACATTACACAGTTAACCTTGGAAAACATTAGCCTAAGACTATGTCAAAAAACAGATTAACTAGAGTGGTACTGTAGAAATTCTATAATTCTGTAGAAATCTATACGTCAACTTGCCATAAACCACGGTTAATACAATTTCTGTCAGAGGTAAAATGCCATTAAAATGAACTCCATGAGCATTAAAACTGATTTGCTTTGAAGGACATTTTAAGTTACCTTTTCCAATCTGTAAGAGTAGATAAAACAGTTTGTCAACTAAAATGCATTAGTAAGAGGAAAACATGAGCACAGCAAGAAATTCACCTATTCCATATAAAACAGAGAACCGAAAAGTAGACAGAAGATATCTTTCTTGGAAGAACCAAAACAGACGTTAGGAAGTTCACGCCCTTCCTAGTAGGCCATGCCCACAAGCCTGCTCTTCTCAAAGTATTCTAAGCAGCTTAGTTATCTGATTTCCCGGCTAAAGCAGAATAGAAATAGCAAACTGGAAGGATGAAGAGGTGCTGCTCTAGAAGCAGGGGTGGTGGTAGCCAATCCTAAAAAAACCTCCAAGTACATACAATAACAAAAGCTGTACAGTCTTGAGACAAAGGGCAAACAGCCTTCTAGAACTCAACAGAATCTGTAGGCACCACTGTGAGAATGCCCAGAAAAACAAATTATACCACTTTACTCTCCATCGTATATACGATTCAATAAAATACACAGGTGACTCTCAAACAACATGGGTTTGAAATGAGTGGGTTCACTTATATGTGGACTTTTTTCAATAAAAATACTGGAAAACTTTTTGGAGATTGGCGGCAACTTGAAAAGACATCTTTTCTCTAGCTTACTTTATTCTCAGAATACAGTATATAATACATATAACATACAAAATGTGTTAATCGACTGTTTCTGTTGTCAGTACGGCTTCTGGTCAACAGCAGAGTACTAGCAGTTAAGTTTCTGGGGAGTCAAAAGTTTTATGTGGACCTTCTATCACATGGAGGGGTCAGTGCCCCAATCCTGACATTATTCAAGGGTCAACTGTACTTCAGAAACTCAAGGAAACAATACATTCTGTCCAAAATGACTAGCAAAAACTGATTAGGAGAAAAAAAGGAGAAATAACAGCTAGCCAGAACTTCCAGAGGCTTGCAGCTGAGGTCCTCCTGCATTCAGATTCAAGTGGTTTGGGAGAGTATCACATACGCATGCCTACTCCCGGCAACAGTGTCCGGGGCAGGCGTGGGGGGATGCTTCATTCCCCTGCTTTAAACCCCTAGCATCTGGTGTATGTTGGGTTGTGGTTTCGGTAACAGTTTGGAAAACTGGTTTTCTAGGTAAAGGTAACCAAAAGACTTTGGGAAGATAAAAGGAAACTAAGGCATATTACTGTTTGATCAACAGCATTCCTAGCCACATCATCAAATCCTCCTTCAAAACCAACAAGGACAGGAAGAAATTCTTATTACAAAACAGTCACTAGAACTGAAACCACCAAGTAAGTCTGTTTGCCAGGACTGAGAGAAAAATATTACTGAACTCTTCACTGTAGTGAACCATGTGTTCTTTATGCGACGATGAGTTCAAATTTTCCACATCCTTTTGAGTTTTCTCATTCCTTGATGTACATCAATTTTAACAAGAGATACGTTAAAGTCTTCCCCACTATGAGAATGGGATTCATCTGTTACCTTGTATATGGGTCAAGTTTTACTTTATGTATTTTCCCAACATTTACTGTATTTTCAAACATAAAGCAAAACCGCAAGAACTGTAATAGTGGACAGCTATGTGCTCACACCTAAATTCTACCATTAACATTTACTATACTTGCCTTACCACATATGTCTAACCCTTTATTCCTCTATCAACTTATTTTTATATTTTTGATGGACTTCAATGCAAACCACAGATACCAGTAGACAGTTGAGCATGCATTATCACTAACTAGAGTGCAGTATTTGTTCACGTTTTTTGTTTTCTTTTGTTTTGTTTTGTTTTGTTTTCCTTTCCAGGTAAAAGTTACAAACAAGGGAGTTCATAAATCTTAAGTGTACATTTGCTGAGTTTTGACAAATGCAGACCTGTATGTAGCCCAAAGCCCCAACAAGATACAGAACATGAATATCACCCCACAAAGTACCTTCATGCCCTTTCCTGGTCAATCCCCACTCCCACCCTCCTGGAGACAACCACTGTTTTGGGTTTTTTTTCCACATCATGATTAGTTTTGACTCATTGGGAATGTAATATAAATGCAATCATACAGCATACACGCTTGTGTAAGAATTCTTTCAGTCAGCACAATGCTTGACATTCTCCACAGTTGTGCACCTGCCAGTAGTCCATTTCTCTTCATTGCTGAGTAGTTATTCCACTGAATAGTTCACAGTTTGTTTAATCATTCTGCCACTGATGGCCACTTAGTGTATTTTTGGTTTGCGGCCATTATGAGTAAAGCTGTGTGACCACTCTTGCACACATCTTTTAATAATATATGTCCTCACTTATCTTGGGTAAATAATGAAGAGTTAAATTGCTAGGCCATAGACAGCAATGTTTAATTTTACAAAAACTGTGAAGACCTTTTAGTAAAGTGGCTATACGCCAACAGTGCAGGAGTGTTTCAGTTGTTCCACATCCTAGCCCAAATCTGGTGGTGCATTTTTAATCTAGTCACTCTAATGAATGTACAGCAGTATTACATGGTTATTTTTACCTTACATTCCCCTAATGACTAATTATGTTGAGCATTTCTTCATGTTGGTTCATAAATTTGATGTTATAAAAAAACAGAATTATTACATCTTCATTATAGATTGAATATTAAATAGTGACTATTTTAATATTTTTGCATTAAAGTCTACTGTCATCTCTTACTAAAACAGCTAGACCAACTTTCTTTTGATATTTTAGCTGGTACATATAAATATTGTTTCAGTCTTTTTATCTTTCCACATCCTCAGGTTTTAGGTACGTTTCTTGTAAACAGCATATACCTGGATTTCATTCAGTCTAACCATCTATGCCATTTAACCGGACGACTTCAGTCCACTGATACATATTGCAGTGTTTACCCACATATTCAGATTTTCCCCCAACCGTTCTTACTCTGTAATTTCTAACTGTACTGCTTTTTCTCAATTTTTTTCTTCTTTCTTTATAAGCCTTTTTTGGATTAAGATTTTTCTCCTCATTTACATACACAATTAGAGAAGATAAACATTCTACTATTGAATCATCACACTTGATATGTTAACATTAATCAATCACTTTACCCTTCTTTCAAATGATACAAGAGCCTTAGAATGCTGGTTCATGTTCACTATATACTGAAACTGTACCTATGTGGAAACCTATCTCATTGTTTACCCGAGGGCATATCACATGGAAAAGTACTAGATTAAGCACTGATACTTAGAAATACACTATCACTGTTTCAAATTCTGTGCACGCATTGCAGACTGCATCAACATGAGACTAGCAATCTATTAAATGCAGAAATAAACACAATTGTGAGGAATAAATCTATTTAGTGAGGAAATAAATCTATTAAGTGAGGAAATGTTACCTCCTCCTTGTTGCATAAAATACTGCTCCAAGTTATCACAGTCGATTTTGGTTCTACAGAAAATAATTGCTTGATCCATCTTGTGTTCCTTGATAGCCCGAACAGCGTACTCCCCTTTCAGGATTTTAATAGCTTCAGACCACATTTCTTGAATACCACAATAACAAACAAAAATAAACGAACAGAATTTTAATCCGAATTGTCATGATTACACATAATTAAGTTGTAGACTTACTGCTTGACTCATCTAAAGTATTAAAGATAAGAACAAAAAATTAGAAGACAAAATGGTGAGATAATCCACTCACTCATTTTTGTTTCTCTTAATGTTTTTTATGCCAGTTTATAGAGTACCAAAACAGCTATATCCATATGTGTTATGAGGGACAACACGTATACACACACCCAAATAAACAGAAAGATAACACTCATGACAAAACTTTGTTCTTACCTCTCATGGAGAACTAATCATACTCTGCCTTGTATTTACTTCCATAATTGCTCAATTAAGGCTTACTCAATTATTTTTAACCCCTTGAAAAATTATTACTGTACTTTCTAAATCAAACCTACCACCAAAAGGTTTGTACTTCACTCTATGGTGCAAAAATCGTTTATCAAACCTTGTTAGTAATTTCTCATTCACCATCCCCAAGTCTCTATTTTTCAGGGTGAAACTGGGCTATAATAACTCTTCAACATCTAATGCAAAATTTTAATTCTGTAACCCACAGGTCTCTCTGGTCATCTCTAGTTGTGGTGCAAACTAAGCAAAACTTTTACAAGGAAAAATACGTGAAGCCACAAAAATTTGTTTTACAAAGTGCATTCCCAACCAGTGGAATTAAACATTATTTTAAACTAGCAGTGTCTCTGCTCCCCTCCAATAAGGCTGGTTGAGCATATACCTTCTAAATTTGAAGCTGCACATAAAACTGAGGTCAAAGGAACTCTATTTAATCAAAATTTCAGATCATTCACCTTTCAGATACTTGTTCAAAACCCCCCAATGAATCTAGCCATGAACCAAATGCAGTCTAACCCTTGCGAAGGATCCCCTTGAGACATGATCTGACATGCGGTCTAATGTGTTTAAGATCTATGCTAGGTTCTCTAAGCACTATTTGTGAATCACGATGTACCTTTATTTATCTTTGAAATACTATGTACCTGAAATAAACCATCTCAGCTTTGCATAGAAGTATCTTCATTGAAACAGAAGGTAATGTTAGACTTTTTACACACTGATAAATATTTAATGATATAGTTTCCATTTGGGAAGATAAAAAGTTCTGGAGACAGATGGTGCTGATGGTTGCATAGTAGGACTGGACTTAATGACCCTGAAGTACACACTTAAAGATGGTCAAAAGGGTCAATTTTATGTTATGTATATTTTACTACACACAAAAACCATCAGTAAACTATTTGGTCACTTGTCTATCTTTCACCGAGTTGTAGCTAAAGACACTTTCCTTTGTTACCCGATCCCCTGATATGAAGAATCTTTATGACATTTTTCCTGGAATTCAGGGCCTATATGAAAGCTGTCACCAGAGAAATTTGCTGGTTTCCTTTGATCAATGAGAATTCTATATTCCAAAATATTTGTGGCTTAGATGCCAGGAGATTAACATCTAAAATTCAGTGATTAGTATCCCTCTAAGTTGACTGGTATCAGCTTTTACCCCATTTCTTTAGTATTTTTGTTGCTTTTATTTTCAGATTTACTGTTCTAACTTTGCAAGCAGACAGGGCATCAATTCAATAACCAATTTGTTTTCAAAATCTTTCAACACATTTTATTGATTCCTTTAACTTACCTGGACTGTTAGCACCAGGTCTTGTGTTATCTTTTGCATGTACGTCATCAGTCTATCAAAAGGAAAGGAATAAAAATGGGATGGGGAGTGGTTAATGATTCAGAACAGGTGTCCTTTATTTTTTTAAAGGGAAAATTGTATCTAAACTCAGACTGCATTTCAGGCATGTTTTCATAACCTGTAGGCAAAACCACTCTTCAGAGTGAGAAAGACCTTTTATTAACTGTAGGTGTAAGGGTAATAAATTTTAAATGTAATAAAAATGCAAAGATAGCTTTCAGAATATTATTTATAATAAACATACCCTTACTATATAGAGGTAAATCTAATAACAGTGGGAAAATGACAAGATGGACAGATGAAATCAATTTTTAAGAAAGTAAGGAACATCAAAAGGACATTAAAATACTACTAAAAAATGGAGATCATTGTATCTGAAATTAGATCTATACATACAGGTAATCCTGTTGTTTATAAAAATTATATCAAGGAAGACGATCACAAAAGTCATTTTCTTTATAGAGAGAAAGATAAAATATAAGCCCATCACATATTCTGAGCCTTAAGGGCCTAAACTTTTCTAGTCATTGTGCTAGACTTCCATTTCTAAGGTACAACATCTGGTTGCTTTAAGCATCACTAAAAGCCCAAGGGGAAGCTGGTTTCTCAAAACTTTATTCTACACAAATGTTAGCATTATAAAGTACATACTCTAATGTGATTTTTTCCAAGCCTTTCCCAGAGCCTGTCTGCTTTCGGATTCACTGGGACAACAACATGGTGTACAGTATCTGGAACAGAATCTTCTCCTTTTAAGTCAACCCATGTGGGAAAATGCATTATCTTCTCAGACAGCTTCTTTACATCAAATGAATGCAATGTAGCAGAGCAAACAATCACCTAGAAAAAGAAAAATCAAAATTCTGATACACATTTTAAATTCTACCGTATGAATGCTGATGTGGGGCACAAAGTGTGCTAAACCTGGAACCTACGAACAAACTCAATGCCTGACTCTGAAGCAACTAGTACATAACACTGGGCAGGTTCTTGCTCTGAGCTTAAGGCCACTCATTGCCACAGAAATAATGCCATCTGCTCCACAAAGTCCTACAAAAACTAGGATGTAAAGGTTTCGGAAGATCTAAAATCATAAGTTACTAGTTATCCCTTCTCTTACATGCCTTTAACTCTAGGATTCTTCCTACAATGAGAAATAATTCAGGAAATAATTACTAAGAAAACAACTATTTTAAACAGCTCACTATATTGTTCCTTCAAAGAGAAAGCAATACTCAGAGACTAGAAAATGAAACTCTAAATGTTAAGTAGAAAAAAAAACTAAGAATTTTTACTTAGCATCTTTTATAACACCTAAGTAATTTCCTCAAATTCCTTTCTCTTCTATTTCTAAAAACAAGTTTTTAATATGTTTCTTTTGTGTACACTATTTAATCAGGTAATGAAGAAAATGTTTTATACAGCAGTTAATGAGAAAATGGACACTAAAACAAAACATAAATATAAAACAAAAAAAACATTGATACATAACAATTCTCTACATTTAAGATGCATTAGTTATTTTATACCTGAAGTCTTTTTCCATCAGAGGTAATCTGAGGGATCTGACTGTGAATCCTATTTATAAAATCAGAATAACCTTGAGAAAGCAGCCCATCCTGCATGAGAAGCAGAGAAAAGCATGTTTTTTTAATCATTATCTAAATCTTTTTTTTTTTATCAAGGTATCATAGATATACACTCTTATGAAGGTTTCACAAGAAAAACAATGTGGTTAGTACATTCACCCTCATTATCAAGTTCCCCCCTACCCCATTGCAGTCACTGTCCGTCAGTGTAGTAAGACGCCACAGAGTCCCTTGTTGTCTTCTTTGAGCTACTGTCTGCCCCGGGACCCCCCACACACCTTCCTCCCCCTTGGTAACCCCTAGTTCCTTCTTGGAGTCTGTGAGTCTGCTGCTATTTTGTTCCTTCAGTTTTGCTTCATTGTTATACTCCACAGATGAGTGAAATCATTTGGCACTTGTCTTTCTCTGCCTGACTTATTTCACTGAGCATAATACCCTCTAGCTCCATCCATGTTGTTGCAAATGGTAGGATTTGTTTATTTCTTATGGTTGAATAGTATTCCATTGTGTATATGTATCACTTCTTCTTTATCCATTCATCTACTGATGGACACCTCGGTTGCTTCCAAATCTTGGCTATTGTAAATAGCGCTGCAATAAACGTAGAGATGCATATGTCTTTTTGAATTTGAGAAGTTGTTTTCTTTGGGTAAATTCGTAGGAGTGGAGTTTCCGGGGTCAAATGGTATTTCTATTTTTAGTTTTGTGAGGAACCTCCATACTGCTTTCCACAATGGTTAAACTAATTTACATTCCCACCACCAATGCAGGAGGGTTCCCCTTTCTCTGCATCCTCACCAGCATTTGTTGTTCCTAGTCTTTTCTGTGTTGGCCATCCTAACTGATTTGAGTTGATATCTCATAGTGGTTTTAATTTGCATTTCCCTCATACTTAGTGATGTGGAGCATCTTTCCATGTGCCTGTTGGCCATCTGAATTTCTTCTTTGGAGAAGTGTCTGTCCAGATCCACTGCCCATTTTTTAATAGGGTTATTTGCTTTTTGAGTGTTGAGGCATGTGAGTTCTTTATATTTTGGATGTTAACCTCTTGTCAGATGTCATTTACAAACCTATTTTCCCATACTGTAGGATGCCTTTTTATTCTGCTGATGGTGTCCTTTGCTGTACAGAAGCTTTTCAACATGATGTAGTCCTGTTTGTTCATTTTTAATTTTGCTTCCCTTGCTTGAGTAGATACGTTCAGGAAAAAGTTGCTCATGTTTATATTCAAGAGATTTTTGCCTATGTTTTTTTCTGAGACTTTCATGGTTTCATGACTTACATTCAGGTCTTTGACCCATTACAAATTTACTTTTGTGTATGGGGTTAGACAATAATCCAGTTTCATTCTCTTGCATGTAGCTGTCCATTTTGCCAACACCAGCTGTTGAAGAGGCTGTCATTTCCCCATTGTATATCCATGGCTCCTTTATCGTATATTAATTGACCGTATATGCTTGGGTTTATATCTGGGCTCTCTAGGCTGTTCCATTGATCTATGCGTCTGTTCTCATGCCGGTACCAAATTGTCTTGATTACTGTGGCTTTGTAGTAGAGCTTGAAGTCAAGAAGTGCAATCCCCTCCGCTTTATTCTTCCTTCTCAGGATTGCTTTGGCTATTCGGGGTCTTTTATGGTTCCATATGAATATTAGAACTATTTGCTCTAGTTCGTTGAAGAATGCCATTGGTATTTTGATAGGGATTGCACTGTATCTATAGATTGCTTTAGCAATATGGACATTTTGACAATATTTTCTTCCTATCCATGAGCACAGGATGTGTTTCCACTTATTGGTATCTTCTTTAATTTCTCTCGAGTGTCTTGTAGTTTTCAGAGTATAGGTCTTTCATTTCCTTCGTTAGGTTTATTTCTAGGTATTTTATTTTTTGATGTAACTGTGAATGAAATTGTTTTCCTGATTTCTCTTTCTGACAGTTCATCGTTACTGTATAGGCATGCAACAGATTTCTGTGTATTAATTTTGTATCCCACAACTTTGCTGAATTCAGATATTAGATCTGGTAGTTTTGGAGTGGATTCTTAAGGGTTTTTTATATGCAATATCATATCATCTGCAACAGCTTAACTTCTTCCTTGCCAATCTGGATACCTTTTATTTCTTTGTGTTGTTTGATTGCCATGGCTGGGACCTCCAGAACTATGTTGAATAAAAGTGGGGAGAGTGGGCATCCCTGTCTTGTTCTGATCTTAAAGGAAAAGCTTTCTACTTCCCATTGTTAAGTATGATGCTGGCTGTGGGTTTGTCATATACAGCCTTTATTATGTTGAAGTACTTGCCCTCTATATCCATTTTGTTGTGAGTTTTTATCATGAATGGATGTTGAATTTTGTCAATGCTTTTTCAGCATCTATGGAAATGATCATGTGGTTTTTGTCTTTCTTTTTGTTGATGTGATGGATGATGTTGATGGATTTTCAAATGTTGTACCATCCTTGCATCCCTGGAATAAATCCTACTCAATCATGATGGATGTTCTTTTTGATATATTTTTTAATTTAGTTTGCTAATATTTTGTTGAGTATTTCTGCATCTATTTCATCAGGGATATTAGTCTGTAATTTTCTTTTTCTGTGGGGTCTTTGCCGGATTTTGGTATTAGTATGATGCTAGCCTTGTAGAATGAGTTTGGGAGTATTCCCTCCTCTTCTACTTTTTGGAAAAGTTTAAGGAGGATTGGTATTAGGTCTTCACTAAATGTTTGAAAAAATTCATCAGTGAAACCATCTCATCCAGGAGTTTTGTTCTTAGGTAGTTTTTTTATTACCAATTCAATTTTGTTGCTGGTAATTGGTCTATTCAGATTTTCTGTTTCTTCCTGGGTCAGCCTTGGAAGGTTGTATCTAGAAAGTTGTCCATTTCTTCTAGATTACCCAGTTCGTTACTATATAATTTTTCATTGTATTCTCTCATAATTCTTTGTATTTCTGTGGTGTTGGTAGTGATTTTTCCTTTCTCATTTCTGATTCTGTTTATGTGTGTATACTCTCCTTTTTTCTTGATAAGTCTGGGTAGAGGTTTATCTTTTTTATTTATTTTCTTGAAGAACCAGCTCCTGCTTTCATTGATTCTTTGTATTGTTTTATTCTCTCAATTTTATTTACTTCTGTTCTAATCTTTATTATGTCTTTCTACTGACTTTGGGCCTCACTTGTTCTTCTTTTTCTGGTTTCGTTAATTTTGAGTTTAGACTATTCACATGGGATTGTTCTTCTTTTCTGAAGTAGACCTGTATTGCAATATACTTCCCTCTTAGCACAGCCTTTGTTGCGTCCCACATAAATCTTTCATTTCTAAATCAAATACAAAAGGTTAAATACAGAATCTAAACTCATGCACATACATAGCCCCATATTTTCAAAATGATTATTTTCTATTGGATATTTAAAAACAAGTCATAAATTCAAATTTCAATTCCATGTGATTAAATATGAAAAAGCTGACAATAAACACACCAGAAACTATACTATAGTATTCTAGAATGAATAGGAGAGTTAACAGCTCCTTCCACGTCCTGAAGCGTATGATTTTAATATGAAAAAACAGTAAGAAAAACCCTCAGTGCTAAAATACTACTTCAACCCATCTTGAAAGTAATCTGGAAGTATGTCTGAAGAGCCTTAAACACATTAATGTCCTTTCATACAGCCCATATTTTGCCAACTATGACATAAGGAAATAATCCATAATGTAAAAAAAACTTATTTACAAAGATAGCTGTATGGAGTAAAAAAACAAACCTACACTTGGCTACAAGAGAGGTTTAGTAAATCACAAAGTATCCATACAGTAAGACCATCAGACAGCCTTTAAAAATTGTTTACAAATAATGCCATGAAATACTTATTAAAAAAAGAAGAAGATTTCCCATATTCCAGATAGCTTGATTTCAACTACTATAATAATATACATAAACACAAGGAGTGAATGAAAATATACCAAGCTGGTACAATGATTATCTCTAGGTATTGGTATCATGACTGAATTGTATTTTTTTCCTCATTGCTTTACATTAATTTGTTTGCAAACACATAAGTAAACATATTTTAAAAGCATGACTGCATTTCAACATACAGCTTCATCCAGGACCAGGAATCTAACTTGAGATAAGTTCAGCTTTCCAGTTGACACCAAATCATCTAGTCTTCCTGGAGTTCCAACGACTATATCTACCTGAAAAATATCAAAAGCAGCACCTAATGAAAACTGATGAACTGTTATTAACACCTTAAAATAGCAAACAACAATGATCTGCTTACAAAACGTGTACTGAAGTAGTCAGTGAACTCTAAATTTGCAAAACAGAAGTTACAGGTAACACCATATAATGCAACTCCTACATTTGGTCTGAAATTAATGTGAAGATTTTGGCAACCGATTCTGACACCCTGAGCTGGTTGTATAGTCTAGTATATAAAATTTGTATTTTCCAAGTGACAAGATGAATTTATGAGAACTCTGAAATTTAACCAGGATTCAAATTCCAGTTCTGCTGTCACCAGCTGTGAGACCTCAATTTACTCAATCTCTTCTAGTTTGATTCTCATTTTTGAAATGGTAAATACCTTCTGATTTGAAAGATGGTTGTGATAATTAAGAGATGAGATACATAAAGTACTTGATGCTTTGTGTGCCAGGTGCTCGATAAATGTGTTAATAATGACATCTCACTCTATCCAGGGAAACAATATTACTATTTGTCAAGTGCTTATAATGAACAGGCACTGTGCTCATCTTTTACAAGTACTGTCATCTGATGTTACCATTAAGAAAAGCACTACTATTATTACTACTATTTTTAAATGAGGAAATGTAACTTTGAAATACTAAAGTCATAGAAATTTAGATGACACAGCTAATAAGTCCCCAACTGGGATTCAAACTTAAAGTCCAAATACGAGGAAAGGACTAACTCAAATGAGAACAAGTTATATTTAACTTTTTATTGTAAAAACTTTCAAACATACAGAGAATAGTCTAATAAAACACCATGTCAGTACAAATAATGAAAATTTTTCCATTCACACACAGACGAACACACACATCTTTTAATCAAGCCAACAGGGTGTAGTGATTAGGAACGTGGGCTTTAAAGCAAGCTCTACCCTATGACCTATAAGATCTTGGGCAAGTTACTTAATCTCAGTTATTTTGAGTACTGAGTAAGAAAATGTATGCAACACAATTAACAAGGCCTGGTGCATTTCTAGAAAGTAGTCAATAAAGGTAAAATATCTTTGTATGTATGGATATATGTGTCTGAGCACAAATAAGGTGTTATACAACATAATTCAATAAATTAGGTAATTTGAAACTTCTCTTTGACAACAGGCAAAACTCACTTTTATTCTTTTTTTACTTAATTTTTTTTTTTTTTTCTCCACTGCAGACTAAAAACTGAACTTTCTCCTAACAAATGTGTAACCCAATTATCTCACCCCCTGAAAGAGTAGCATACTGTGCTGGACTCTTAATCTGATCCAATACAAGGCATTATAGTCCCCTGAAAAGTAAGCAGACATTTCTGAAGCTATTGTTTCATTTGTATTAGTAACTATAAGCAGATCTCAGTTCAAACGAGAGAATATTATCCAAGAACATGAAGATACAATCTGTTCTATGTATTAAGAATCAGCAATGTGGGAAGCACCATGACAGGTGATGTAAACAGCAATGACTAAAACACCATTCTGGATCTAAGCGTTAACATCTCTTTACTACAGGATTCTAACCTACCATGTGAGTGCCCTCCCTCCTCAATTTCAGGAGGTAATGTCAGCATGAAAACAGACACTTAGGTTTCTCAGGCTTAAAAAAAAAAAGTGAATTAAATTGGAAAAACCTGAGAGAAACACTTATATGACCTGTGTAATAGCACTAACTACTCCTTCAGGCCTTAATTGCACATGTTGCATAACTGTGTAACTTTAAAGTATCAAAAAATTAACTAGCTCTACTCTCTCATTTCAAAAGCTGACTTCTGCCCCAGCATAAGACATAACACAGAGCTAAGGCTGAGCCAGAGGATGGAGGGAGATAACAGAAATAGGGAATATCCGATGGAAAGAAGAGAGTATCAGGGCCCCAGAGTAGAACAAACCTGAACCCTGCCAAGAAAGCTACAGAATAACATCACCTTTACTTTGCCATTGGCTTCAGCCAGTACCAAATTTTAGGTATGACTGACAAAAGCAGATACAGTTCTCTAAAAGCTCTGTAGCTGGAAAATATGAGTTAAGAAACTTAACAGCTTATGAGGAAAATAGATTTGGGTTTGAGGAAACAAGACTGGGAAAAAAACGTATTAAATCTCTCTTAAAATCACTAAAATACAATATATCAAATAAGAACATATCCAAGCAATATTACTATCTTAGAATAGTATAAACAAGTACAGTAATAGGAATCCTTGCTCTTAATATGTCATACCAGGTCAAATCTAAACCATGCAGCATAAAATTTCATTACCAGGGACACAATAGAACAGGAGGGCGGACATATTTGCTCACCATGACTAAGCATCAGGTGGCTTAGATTAAATGATAAAATATTTAGTAAAGGAAATGGAAATTTGTAAGGAGAAAGTTACTTTTATATATATGAAATACATAAAGTATTTTATGAAGTCATACCTGTATTTAGCTCACAGAATTAATGAGGACAGTTAAGATTTTCCCAAACTTTTCTCCCAATAATGAAGATCACAGTCTCAGCTTTGTTCTGTGTAATTGCATGATGGAGCCCCTAGGATCTGTCATTAGCCAGATGTCCAAACTCATCTCCCTCCTACTGGAATCACTGTCTTATTATCCTTCGTCCTTCCCAAGGATCAGTGACAAAACTTCTACATTCTCTGAAATCCAATTTATCTTCATTTCTATTCTTAATTCTGGCTTCTTTTTTGTCCATTACCCCCAAAAGAAATGACTCTTAATTCATGAAAGCAAAAAGGAAATTCTCAGATGTTCAGAAGGTGAACAAAAAAAATTCATGTATGCTGGAATTTTGTATACGGGGCTTGGAAGAGACTACTGTGACTTTTGAGGAAAAAAAAGGCAAACTTGTAAGATGTTTTTGAACAGATAGCACTCTTTTGTCCTTGATCTAATTTCAGTCTCATTTTTCTTGAAAGACAGTGAACTATACTGCCACAACCCATAATGTTAATTTTTTTTTTCACTGAGTGGCAACTAGCAGTCTTTTAATTTAAAAGAACAGAATAAAATAGAAAATAACACAATAACAAATGTCAGAATGCACTGCATATAGTAAGATCAGAATTAATTTGTGAAACTTGTCTGGGTTTACAACAAAAGACATGTATGTATTGAGCCACAATGCAAAATGAATTTAAACTTTTTTTTTCTTTGAGAGGGCATCTCTCATATTTATTGATCAAATGGTTGTTAACAACAATAAAATTCTGTATAGGGGACACAATGCACAATCATTAATTAACCCCAAGCCTAATTCTCAACAGTCTCCAATCTTCTGAAGCATAACAAACAAGTTCTTACATGGTGAACAAGTTCTTACATAGTGAATAAGTTCTTACATGGTGAACGGAAACTTT